AGTTAAATTACAGGATTAGAGTTTCCCATAAACGAACTCTGACCAAAGTAAAAGTGAAATTTGATTCACAGCAAGTAAAAGAGGGGATTATCAACAAACACTGTGTATATAAGGAGAAACAGACAGCTACAGACACAGTGACCTATAGGAATTTATAGATCAGCACCTATGACTGCAGTAATTTAGTTCTAGATATTAAAAACCGTAAAACACAGAACAATAACTTAAAGAATACATGTTGCTCCGTACCTTTTATGTCAACTAAAATCATTTTATGCTGAAATGGACAACTTGATAGTGATTTTGATTCAATTGTAACTGATGTTACGCAACACATCAAGTTTTAGTAATTTCGCCACAAGCTTGGTTAGCTGTGGCGACCAACTTGAATTGAGTTGACTCCAGAAGTTGATCAGTTTTAAATGTACATTTAATGTTCATTACTTTCAGAGAGTTTCATTAAAATCTGTTCAGTGGTTCATGAGATATTTTGCTAAAAGACAGAGTTGACGCTAATGTTTTAAGCACAGATGTAGCATGAGTATCACGTGAAGTCTGTGCTGGGAGTGATTCAAATACCATTACACTGAGTTTTAGCTCCAAATCTGTTCATTCGATGATAATAACTGATTTTCCTGAAACATTTGTTTAAGTTTGTCCAATGATTTGTCAGATATTTTGTTAACAGATAGGTAGAGTTGAATTTAATTTTTTAAAAATGACAAAGTTTTACAAACAGAAATTGCAAGATCAATTAATGCCCAGAACATGTGACAGAAATTACTTTTTCAAGGTTCAAGGTTCTTTATTGTCATTTGCATCACGTGGTACATGAGGTGGAACGAAATTGTGTACACAAGGTCCCAGCTACATCCAAAAATAGCAAAAATATAAAGTATAAAAACGAAACAGTATGCAAAGACAGGGCTATTCAACAAAACTGCTCAGGGGGCCACAGTTTCTGAAAGCCAGCAGCTCGGGGTCGGACATCCAGCGATTAAAATCATTATGTAAATAAACCAAGTATTACAATGATCTGTTACCTTTTAAATTTGTTTATTTGATTGCATTGAATCATAAATGCAATAAACAGAACCCAAAACTCAAGAGCCGCCAAAAATATACATATACAGTATTCAATTCAATTCAATTCAAAAATACAAAGTACTTTATTAATCCCAAAAGGAAATTATTTGTTGCTGTAACTCGTTATCCTCATTTCATTCAGAGATGTTATAGATGCTGATGGCCATAGGCAGGAAGGATCTCTTGTAAAGGTCCATCCCACAGTGGATCCTAAGAAACTGGCTGCAGATGCCGTCCGATCCATCCACCCAGATTCAGCTGGCCTCTCCGTTCCCCCGGCCTGGAAAACCACCAGAGTGCAGGGCAGAACTCCTCCCAGAGCGAAGGTCTTTTTGTGAAGTGGGCCAGATTGAAGTCACCCATGAGCCGGAAATGGCCCACGGGCCACCAGTTGAATAGTCGTGCGCTAAACAATAGTAGTGTAATATAATACGATGTATTCACGCTGTACTTTCTGGCACTAACAAGATAAATTCTAACCTAATAACTGTAAAATTGGCTACATAACATTGTGTTTACCAAGGTTAAATCATTAGAGTCAGAGTTTCTTTATTTGTCATTCGCACCACATGTGGTACATGTGGTGGAGCAAAATTGTGTTATTATGTCAATATCATAAGATTTTGTTGCCGACGCTACAGATTAAACAACACACACAACTCCAAATCACCTTTTATCTTCTGCGGTGGACAATAGTAAAAATAAAAGACATCCAACAATAATTTATTTCTGTGTTTGCAAAATAAAAACAGAAATCTGTCGAACTAAAGGAATTTCTTTATCTATGGACTCTAGTAGAAGGCAAAGGGTGAGAACAGTGAAGCAGGATAGTATGGGCTTTCTTAAAAAACCTGAATCCTAAACAGTATATTTGTCCATGAAACCCAATGAATCCAATCAGTTACTTAGACTACAAGCATTTCTTGACATAAAAACCTGGATGACCCTAATTTTTCTGCTTTTGAACACAGACAAGACTGAGGTTTTAGTTTTTGGACCTGAGTATGTTAGGAATTAATTTTTCAGTCTTTTGCCCCCTTGAATGGCATTAATCTGGCCTCCAGCTCTAATGTTAAAAATCTTGGTGTTATAGTTGATCAGGACATGTCTTTTAACCCCCACATTAAAAACGTTACTAGAACCGCCTTATTCTGCCTGCGTTATATTCAGATTCAGATATTCTTTATTGCCATTCACTCCACATGTGATACATGTGGTCGAACGAAATTATGCACACAGGGTCCCAGTTACATCCAACAATAAAATGTAAAAGAAAAACAGTAATAACATCTAAGATATGAACTAAAAAAAACATCAACTAAATATACACTAAGCACTAATAGAAATAATAACAATACACCAAACAGCAGCACAAACATGAGTCTGTATGAGCAGATGAGCACGAATGAACACAGCAACACGAAACAGATCAGCAGCAGCATGAAACAGATCAGCAGCAACATGATGTGATTTTTTCACAGTGATTATTCTGGTTAGAGATTCATGAGTCTAACAGCCTCAGAGTAGAAGCTGTTCCTCAGTCTAGTGGTTCTACACTTAATGCTCCTCAACCTCCTTCCTGAGGGGAGTGGGGCAAAAAGTGTGTGTGCTGGGTGAGTGGGGTCACTCATCATCTGCAAACTTTACATTGTGACAGCCTGGATGGGTAGCTGCACAATCATACATAAGTAGAATGAACAGGAGTGGGCTCTGCACACATTTGTGAGGGGAGCCAGTGCTGAGGGTTATGGTGGAGGAGGAGAAGTTGTGGATCCTCACTGACTGCGGTCTGTTTGTCAAGAAGTCTAGGACCCAGTTGCAAATGGAGGGACTTAGTCCTAGTGTGAGTAGTTTGTCGATTAGGGTTTGGATCATTTGTGGACTCCACATGGCAGATGTGGAGTCCACAAAGAGCATACGGACATAGAAGTCCTTCTGCTTCAGAAAGCAGTGTGGACCACAGAGGAGATGGCATCCTCTGTTGATCGGTTCTTGCAGTATGCGTACTGGTGAGGGTACTTGTTGATGTTGATGGTTGTTTTGATGTGAGTCATGACCAGTTTTTCAAAGCATTTAGCGACTAACGGAGAGAGGGCTACTGGCCGATAGTCATTCAGCCCAGTCACTGTAGAGCTCTTTGGGACTGGGATGATGGTGGCAGTCTTCATGCAGGTGGGAACTGTTGTCAGGGTGAGTGAAGTGTTAAAGATGTTGGCCAGCACCTCGCAGAGTTGATCGGCACAGTCTTTCAACAACGTCCCGGGGATGTTGTCTGGGCCGGTTGCTTTATGAGGGTTAATCCTCCTGAAAGTACTCCTTACTTCAGTTGAGGTCACACGGAGAAGCTTTTCATCTGGTGGTGAGGTGAGTCTGGTTCTGGGTGGTCTGTTCGGATCTTGGAAGCATGCATAGAACTTCAACCTTTTTTGTTGCATAAAACTTGTTGAGAGTTTCAGGTGATGGGTCTCTAGGGCATTGTTCACTTCTACCTTTATAATCTGTTCTACACTTAATGCCCCTCCACACGCTCCATGGGTCTTGTGAGGTGAATTGACCCTGGATCCTCTGTGCATATGAGGCCTTGGCCCTCTTAATACCAGCAACCAGCTCTTTCCTTGTCCTTCTGTCCTTTCATCCTATGCAAGACTTATGTTGTTTATTGACTCATCTAACAATATTAAATCAGGTCCTCTGGACGGATTTAAAAAAAAATTGTTGAAACGTTTAGTCTTTTATCCAAAATACTTCTTCAGTCTCACGAGCTGCAACAAACACATCCTTATAAACAGCGGATAGTGGATCAACAAGTTTGCTGGTGACACCCAGAACTTGCAGTTCAGATATTAAAGGGCCATCAGCCAGTTGGTTGTTAGTGCCCTAACAATTGATCATTAGAGACCTCCGCCCTGTTTAATGAGGAACAAGTTCTCTGTGTTAAACGGGCGGAGGTTTCTGTGTTCAAATGTCACTCACCTTCTTACAATATTGTTATTTGCATGTATCACTCAGCCCTGTGAATAGCAAGCGGCCATCAGGGAACTAACGGTCGCTCGTTAGGCTTATGGTCCTCTTTTTGCATGTGAACAACTAGTTTTCGCTGTCAATAGTAAATTGGTTTATCCACTTTGAGAAGGTGCTATTTAGAAGACTGACTTTGTTGCAGCTCCTCAAACTGAAGAAGTCTTGTGGATAAAAGACGAAACATTTCAACAAAGAAGAATCCGTCCAGAAGACCTGACTTAACCTTGTTAAATTTATCTACCTGGATTATTGAGCATGCATCAGGATATTTATTGAGTTAATTTATTAACTGAATTATTATACTATTAATTTATTTATTATGTTGGTGAAAATGAAGGACATTTAGGCTTACACAATGTGATGAAATACATCTGAGAAAAATAATTCAGTGCTATATGTTTCTCTTTCAACTAAGAACATATAATGAACAAAACAAGTAATGAACAGAATCATAGTCATACACTTTTTATGTTGAGCAATGTTCACACGGAAAAAAGGCCACAATAGACACAACTGCATTTGTAATAAATGTTACACAAAAATGTGATCCGTTTACACTGAAAGGCAGTGTTTGCATTTATTTGATTAAATCCACAGGATCCAGGTTTAATGTTAGGCTGGTATGTTAGACTGGAGCGCCCACTGTTGGAGAAAGAAACGTGTTGCGATTCCAACGAATTCAAAACTTACATGCATTGGCTTTATTTGAAATGTTTCACTAACACATTGTGTATTCATTTTAATTTACACGTTTATATTTAAATGTTATAATCATATTATTGTCACATATTAATCACTGTAACGTTTAGAAAATTAAAATTATATATATATTTAAAAAAAACATACAATTGTGTTCAGGCATTATCTAGGCGCTGTCCTCGAACTGCGACAACCCTACCCTAAGGACCCAAGCATGGCTATGCTAGCTGAGCGTATGTAGATTTTCTCACAAATTTGATAAAACGTTTGTTTTCTGTCAATGGTGGCAATAACGTTTTATACAGTTTAAAGTAGACAAAACTGAATAATACATTCAGTGCGAATTTTTATGCCTAAAATATTCTGGTTTTAGCAAGTTTATTTTTAAAGTGGCACGGTAGTTATCATTAGCATGTGTGTAGTCTTAAGAGTTTAACACGTGCTTGATATGCCGGTACTTTGAATCAAAAGTTCAGTAAGTTGTCATCAGTGCATTTGTTGTTGATGCAATGTTGTTCTTAACGGGATGGTTGTTTGACAGAATTGTGGTGTATACCGCACTTTGTATATTTGTGCGCAACACACAAAAGCACTTTGTTATTCTTTTGCGTGTTGTGGCATGTAAGTAAACCTCAGTTCAGATTGGTTTTTTGTCTCTTGGTGACAGTCATCAAACTGTCACTAATGGTCTGCTTTTTCGTGTACATCTAGTCTCGAGCTTAATTTCGTATAATTAATTCTTCTAGAGCTTACCATCGATTGGCATCCGAGTTGCACTCAGTCATAGTACTCAAACTCATCAAATTCAGTGCTTTATGTTATACTGACAGACTTCTCTTGAACTGTGTGGCATTTCCCTTTTCATCATAAGACAACGTTATTAACCTTGGACTCATATGAATACATGTTTATGTGCATTGTGGATTTAGTTGCTTGGATCTTATGTATTATGTTACACCATGTTGGCAGACTGTAGTGTAATAAAGTCCTTGTTTGTCTGTACAGAACGCAGGAAACGTAAGTGGTCTGTTGACCCCAGGAACAGCGCTTGGAGCAATGACGACTCCAAATTTGGCCAAAAGATGCTGGAGCGAATGGGCTGGTCCAAGGGCAAAGTAAGTGAGATTTCTCAGTGTGAATTTCTTTTTATATACAAGGTCAGATCTACGTATGTTTAAATGCTGAAACATTTTTGTTGTTTACTCAAATATATATGCAATTTATAGTTGTGTTATGTTGGTTTAGAGTGCACATCCTGAGTTTAAAATGGCTTTAGGTCTCGTGGTTTTATGCTTGGCACAAATGGAGCTAGTCTGTTTTTCCTTCATGGTATTCCAGATGGTTGTACTGACTGAGGCCAGTGTTTGTGCACTGGCCTTTTGTCTTCTCTGCTGCCCAGACAAAACCTAAACTTCAGCTTAAATGTTCTGGATAATTTATTAAAATATTCAATGTCATGGACAACACCAACTCAACAAAAATACCGGTCTGTTGCATGTTCCAGTAATTATGCTCACGTAAAAGAAAGTGGATTTTTATAAAATGTGCAACCCTACATGCAGTTAAATAATATTCCCACAGGTTTTTTTTATTTTCTTTAAGAAATTCACAGTATTTTATTTCTTGGACAATGTCAAATGTGTATTTTCATTCAACCTTTATTTATACAGGTTAGTATCATTGAGCCACGAGGACTCATTTACACTAGAGAACTGTTTTAAACAAAGAACAGAAGAGGTACAAACAATAATACAGTCATAAAAGAGCATATAAAATGAAATAAAATCCCTAGTATACTAGGGACATCAAGTTTTTTTTTTTTCCCTAAACTTTTCTGATTCATTTCAAGATAAAGTTTGCCTAATGCAGAGTTTCAATCTGATACTTGAACTATTTTGCATTTATTACAGCACAAGGTTGCAAATGACATACCAATAATATATTAAAGTTATTAAACTCGTTGTCTTCATGTGCTTGATACCTCAGTCACTCTACATTAAAGTAAAGAAAGCTTGGATTTGTTTTACCTCAAGTTGTTTTTTAATTATCAACAAGGGGAAAAAAGTGTTTGTAGAGTTTTTATACAGCTTTGATGGTGTTGCATCATAAATGTAGTGTTGAGATGGTAGGGTGCGCCACGGCTCCATCAGCTGCAAAAGGTGACGAATCTCATTTTCTCCAGTACAGCAATAGGTCAGTCATCCAAAGCAATAAATTCAGTCACTCAAGTCTTTGTTCCTTTTTGCCTTATCGTTGTCCTATGGAAACTTGTCTTTTTGCTTTAGAGATAAACCTAAGGTATGTGATTGGCACGTTTTAGATCTCCGTGTACTCAGTGCAGTGTTTGGATTTTAAATGTCATTAGTTTGGTGGTATTGGATGTACTGGTAGTTCTCTAGCTGCTTCCAGAGAAAATATCCAAATGGCAAACAAAAAGTAGCTACTGAAGTTTTCTAATTTTGTGTTTTGCAGTACTTCTGTACTGCAGACATGTTGGCATGGTACATTACAATGACCGCCTTATTACAGCCGCTGTACAGCAGCTGTAGTACAGCAGCTGTAGTACAGCATGGCTAATGTAAAATTGTAGGTCAGTAGTTAAAAACGCAAGTCAACATCAGAGATCAGGTGCAGATTGTGGTCAGCTACTTTAATACTGATCAATGAAAATTACTAGGGGTGCGCCGATTGCAGTTTTCTGGCCGATCACCTATTTCTAAAAAGCCTGACCTGCCGATTCCGATTTTGGCCGATACCAATTTAGTTTTATAAGCAACAATGTCACAATGCACCTTAAATTTTCCAATCTTATTTTATTGAAAAACATACCCTTGAACAATATACTAGAAACAATACAAACTTGTTTTAACTGGCCATGAGGTAGTGCTCTGAAATATAAATGACGTTCAGCCAATTGTTGTTCAAACTAAAAAAAATCGGTTTCTCCTGCAAGTATCGGCTGACCGCTGATCACCCAAAATTAAGGAAATCGGGGCCAGTAAATCAGCTTGCCGATTTATCGGTGCACCTCCTAAAAATGACCATGGTTGTTACTCCGATCTGATACTTGCAATTGCTTTGATACATCAGTAGTGTATGCAGTATAAAATCAGAAATAATTCAAACAAAAACCTGAAATATTTGTGTTCAGATTTGCCAATTTAATGTTCTTTTAACTGTATGATGTCTTTCAAATTTACTACATCAGTATGCAGAAACAAGGTTTTTACTGTTAATGTTCAAATAAAAGCTTTGGAAACATGTCAGAGATCCTTTTTATTGCCCCTTCAGGGACTTGGGAGGAGTGAGCAAGGCTCAACAGACCACATCAAAGTAAAAGTTAAAAACGATAACCACGGGCTTGGGGCTAACGCCAGTCATGAGGTGAGTGCAGTTAAGATACACAAGTTTATTTCTGAATCAAAATGAGCCTTTACTATTTCTTCTGAACTAACTTATATGGTAGTTTTACTGATTCTAAAAGTTTTAATTTGCACCCCGTGTAAGATCTATACGCATCTGAAAATACACAAAACAAAAACAGAATGTATTTATTCTTAGTTTTGATTGCTGAGTGCTGTAATTTTTGCAGGACAACTGGATTGCTCATCAAGATGAATTTAATGAGCTCCTTGCTCAGCTGAACAACCACCATGGTCAAAACAACGGTATGATGAAGGCCTTTAACCACTGTTTGAATTATTTTGTGACTCTCTGCAGGTTTGAAAATACAACAGGGTGTGTTACACATTTGTTGTCATTTATTATACTTATTTAGAAACATATTTTATGCTTATTTTGCCTGGTTCACACATGAAATTGCTTAAAGTTGAAGGTAGTTCATGCCTGTTGGTTGTCCTGTTTGACAGCAGGGGGCGCTTCAGTTCAACATTTTGAAAAGTATAAGTTGTACCACACCATTTTATTTATAGAGCACTTAAAACAGCTACAAGGCCAACCAAAGTACTGATTTGTATAACAAGAGTGAACATGTTAAACATTAATAATGGCATGTCAGACGTCACAGCACGTGTAAAATTCTTGATTAAAACACTGATTTATGGTTTTTGTTTCAATTACACTGTACAAAAGAACAAATCTTTACACTTTCTTTTCCCAACTGTAGAAGCTCCATCTGATGAGAGAGGTTTCAGCTTGGAGGAGAAATCTAAGACGGCCAAAAAGAGGGTCCATTACATGAAATTCACCAAAGGTGGGTGCAATTTTTTAATCGGCTCTTGTTGGAGATAGTGGTTACAAATAACACAAAACTTTTTTTCTTAATCTGAATAGTCTTCTCACTTACAACCTGTGAAAATACATTTGGATTATCTTGTACCAAACTCGGATGTGATTTATTTATTTTTATTCATCAGTAAGTAAAATTCACAATTCTGACTAGAGGTTTTTAAATTAATTGAAAAGAACTACAGTGGAAGGAGCGTTTGTTTTCTCAAACATCTGATTTAGTGTGTTTTTAACTTGATAGTTTTCTGCCTGTGTACACGTACAGCACGGACCATTTTATATAGTCCTTGACCTCTTAATGAGACCTGTGCTCTCGTCTCACACCACAGATGCTGATCAGAGTTGTGTCTTTCTGTGCTGGGTCAGTTGACCCGGTGAGTGCTTGGTTGAGGTTATTTATAACGCTCCCCACTCTTTTCATTACCCATTACACGTCAGGAAGTTAAGATTTGCTGGTCAAGGCCATTACACTGATATGTTCAAGGAGGAATTTGGTGTTCAGGACCACTGGAGGCGAAAGTAAAAAAAAAAAAAAATTCATTTTTATTGCTAAGTTGTGATTCTTGCAGCATAGTTTCATGATTAAATGATCCTTTAATGAGACTTTCCTTCATTAGAGGTTTTATGTGTTAGACTATGCTTGTTTTAATAGTAGACCGTTTCTGTATGTGTGGGTCACTGAGTTCACATCTACCTCCTCTGCTCGTCGCACTTGACAAAACAAATATCTCAACTTTTGTCTCACCTGGAAGAACCTTCAGTGTTTTACGTCATTCAATAGCAACTTCCTGTTTCCTGTTTAGGGCATCTGGTATCTCCATTTACCGCAAACATCAGTGCCTGTGACCTATTAGATGACCTTGTCAGATAACGCATGGTTTTAGTCTCTCCTCCAGTCCCTCTTAAAATTGTTTTGTTGTCCTAATTTGAAAGGAACCAGAAGAAGACCATATTCCTGATGCATCTATTCTAACGACATTAAGGATTTAAGGCATAGACGGCAGCACAGAGGCAATAATCATGACAGCAATAGTGTCATGATAGAGGCCGGGGTCTACCATACCAGGCAAGACCCAAGATACAGTCTGTGCAAAGATGCCCCTGCGACAGTCCAGCACATAATAGCAGGGTGAAAGATCCATGCAGGCAAAGCATACATGGAACACCATAACCAAGTGGCTGGAATAATGTGCAAGAACATGTGTGCTGAGTTTGTACTTAAGGTCCCACAGTCAAAGTGGGAGACTCCACCAAGGGTGATGGAGAATGAAATGGCTAAAATACTGTGAGACTTTCAGATCCAGACCGACCAACAGATGACGGCTAACCAACCAGACATTGTGGTGGTCGACAAGCAAGAGAAGAAGGCAGTGGGTTTAGATGTAATAATTCCAAGTGACTGTAACTTCAGGAAGAAGGAGCAGGTGGCGCTTAGCTTTGCCTAGCTTAGCTTAGCTCATCATAGTTTTGTGTATGTTGCCATTCTCCTGTACACATTTTGTGCGGTGGAATTTTACTCCCGTATATAATACGACCCCCAAAATTAATGGATGATTTTTGGGGATAAAATTTTCACATTATACATTTAATACAAAAATAAAGTGCATCCATACCTGCTTCTTCCTTTTCGAGTCACGGGGGTCACTAGTGCCCATATTCAGCAGTCACTGTGCGAGAGGCGGGGGACACCCTGGACAGGTCTCCAGTCCATCACAGGGACACAGAGAGACAAATGAAACAACCATTCACTCTCTCACTCACACCTAGGGACAATTTAGAGTTACCAATCAATCTAACATGCATGTTTTTGGTCTGTGGGAGGAAACTGGAGCACCAGGAGAAAACTCACGCATGCACGGAGAGAACATGCAATCCACCCAGAAAGGCCCCGGACTGGGATTTGAACCAGAATAACCTGTTCGCTGAGAGGCAGTAGCTCTACCAACTGAGCCACTGTGCCACCCCAAAAATAAAATAATAAACTTAAATTTAAAATGATCAATTTAAGTACGTGCGTGTGTGTGTGTGTGTGTGTGTGTGTGTGTAGGCAGCTGTGGCTGAGTGGTTAGAACGATCATCCTCCAATGGGAGAGTTTGGGGTTTGATTCCACCAGCAGTCACATGTTGAAGTGTTCCTGGGCAAGACACTGAACCCCTCACTGCCTCCGATGTGTCTCATTGATGCATGAATGTGATCTAAAGCACTGATTATTCTGTATAGATTAATTATCTCTGTAGAGATGTAGTAGAGTGCTGTATGAATGTGTGTGTGGAGGTAAACGAGGGCACAGATTGTGTTGTAAAGAGCTTTGAGTATCTTGATTAGATAGAAAGGTGCTATGAGTCCATTTACCATATGCACAACCCTACCACCACCAGTACTTGCACTAAAATTTGAAGCTCATGGATCTACGGGAAGGCTTCACAAAACATGCAGAGTTGGAATATGCAACACTTTTTTTTTTTCCCATGCCAGCTTTATTGTATTTACACAAGGCCAAACTTACTTACAACACAATATCTCCGTTTTTTCCAATGTAAAAATGTCGGAGGAATGAAATCAACAAAACCACTCCTGTTGTTCATTTGTTTTGACATGTAGTTTCCTGGAAATACTTGGTTTTTGACAGAAAGAAAACTGAAAAGGAAACCGGTTAAGTGGAATAGCAGGTTGAGTTTTTACACAGCCGATTAATTTTAAACCATTTCAGCACGTCTGGCATTTTTCATGTCAGTTCCACTTGTTTTGGCAAAACGACTACTTCAGTCTGCTCCTATTCTGAGGCTGCAGCAATTGTCCAGCAACAAAAGTGACACTAAGACTTTTGTTTTAATGAGTTTTCATTGAAGTTGGAAATATGAAAGTAACGCTTTAAGTAAAGCATTTAAGACATTTTATAAACCTCAACTTTCAGTGTGCATGAGCGTGAATGCATTTTACGTTATCTGCATGGTGAAAATATTTGGGGTTGCCTTTAAAGCAGTAGGCAGCAACTACAAGATGTCCTGTACTATTTAATTTTTGTTTGTAATTGTCTCCTTCCATTGAGACTGCACCACACTATGTTCTGTTTGTATCATAAATTGTCATGGGACACCACAAAGTTAGGTGGCAACATATAATCTGCCACGCCTCTTTGCATGCTTCCACTAACATCTCTGATGCTGACTCCCTTTTCTGTGAGGTTGTTGCCAAGTAAAGGCTTGGTAATAGATTTACTGCCGGTAAGCTTGTTACACGAGAGGCTTGAAAGGTCAGGTAATAACACTCGTATAGTTCTCCCAACAACCAGCGGTAAGAAAGAAAGGTCAGCTTTTTTAGTGGTAAAATGATTAGATGAATCTGTTGAACAAACGCCTGACTTTATTTAGATTTACGTTTATATTGAAATAAACTGTGGCTAAAGTAGCATCAGCGAGACTTCAAAGTGTGCACCGCTCCTTCTCTCACCGGCCTCCTCCTTAGTGTCCTGCTTTTTTTATTGATATCCCGTTTATGCTGGCTCCCTTTTTGTCAGCGCTAAGGATTGATGGTCTTTGTTTGTGGGGAAAGGCACAGAAATCTCCACTGCTGCTCAGGTCCAAGTTCCGAAGCATAAACCAGTAACCCAGTTTTAATTGCTGCCTCCATCTATCACCTGTCAGGACAGCCAGGGTGGTTGATGCAGAATTTAACCGTAGATCTCCAGCCGCTGCTCTGTGTGGTGGCCTTATTGTAGCTCTGTGCTTATTTATTAGTTGCATTTTATCTAAACGGCAGGTTTGGACAGAACTTAACTAATCACACAAACTACAGTAAGCCTTTCCTTTCTTTTATTAGCATTGCCACCTACAGCTTTCACGTTTATTGGCATTACTTGACACCCTCTGTAATTAAATCTCTTATTTGTGCTTTTGACAGTTAGTATGAATGCCTTGTAAATCTAGTTTGACTAGTTATGTGCTCACAATTCCTGCCTTTTTAAATCTTAATCGTCAGCTGCATATTTCTATCCAATTCAACCAAGTTTCATGCTTCTTAATAACTTTTAGGAGCCTGTGAGAACAGTAGGTTTAAGCTTCTTTTTATCAGAACTTTATTTGCACTTTCACCTTGCAGTAGAAAAACTTGGATGGGTATTTCCGTCTCCAAACATTAGAAGTGTCAGATCGAGCATCGTTTTACATCTGACCTAAGTTCAGTCGATGGCGAACACCACAGGGCCCCCCTCCTCATTTATTTTAGTTTTCAAAATACTTTTTTGGTGTTACCCCCTTAAACGTGCATCCACAGTGACTTTCAAAGTCAAGCGCAGGGAAGATAGAGGCTTAAAAGCAATAAATAACCAAATGTTATCAGAGTCGTGCTGAAGGAAGAGGATGCAGCTGTATGAACAGGACCCAGGCTCGAGACAGAGCACTGCGTGCTTCAGGAGTCTTTGAGGCCCGGCTTAAAAATGGGACTCGGGAGACACGGCGAACCTTGTCGTCAGTTTATTTTTCTTAGTTGTTTTATCTTTCGAGCATAAAGTAAACCACACAGACCTCTGCTTTTTTTTTTTTTTACTTGTTTTGACCACATTTCACAAAAACACACTTAAAATTTCACTTTGAATTGAATTCTACCTGTTTAATAAATTGGCAACTCTACCATGTTTGGCCACTGCTAAGTTAACAGATCTCACTGTTAATGATCTTTGGTTACACAAAGCAAAACGATGAACCCAAAATAAGTGTTTCACAAAGTTTATTTTTTGTGAACTTCTTATTGCTTTCAGGAAAGGACTTGTCCTCTCGTAGTGAAACAGACCTCAACTGTATCTTTGGGAAGAGGACAAAATCTGCCAACGACCAAGAGCAGGTAAGATGATTACCTTTTGTTTTATGAACCACATTTATATATTCCAATTTTTGTAATCTAACCTGAACAGGGCAACCTCTGATATTAATCTAGTCATAGTCGGGGCTCAACAGAGGAGTTGATATTCCACTGACCTGGTGGTTTGAGTGTATTTGTCTCTGTTATTGCTAGTGAGCGTCCATACTGATGGTCTTCCCAGACTCTCTGGTATTATGCGATCCTTTTGCTACTGCAGGGCCCGGTTCCCAAGCAGCCTCTGGCTGTAGATTATCCATGTCGGCATGTGCAGCTTTAACAGTGCCAAAAGGCCACTGATGGTGGCAAGAACACTTAAATCCAGTTAAGGGATTTTCACTCTTACCACTTCCTCCTCTCCTTCACACTTCTCTTTTTTCTGCCTCTGACTTGGAGCATCACTTCAGTGGGTTAAATCAGCCAGAAGGAATTATTAAAGTAAAAATTGTGAGCTTTACAGAAATCCTAGGTGATGACGCTTGCGTAAAAGTTTATTTTGCTATTGGCATCGGTACATGGCCACTTCAAATGTCACTTTGGCACTTGATGACATGATAGGTTTCATGCATTTTAAAAGATAACTCGCAGGCTAAGGCAATTTCAAGTTGCATTTATGCATGGAAATGTTTTTTTGCTATCCTTGAAAACAAAACTTGGTAAAATTAAGTTGCTTGTGGATGCAGTTCATTAGTTAATAATAATAGAAATTAAAGAATAAGTCATCTACTGATAATTTGTTTGTGAGGCATCTGAGAATCTCACAGGTGCTGCAATGAGTCACATCTGTCCTCTTCAGTTAATTGATTGGCTTCAAAGTCACAATTAATCCACCTTTTATTGCGCTGATTGATTTGTGCTATAGCATTTTATTTATGAACACAGGATAGAATAACACAGATATGAAGGTGAAACAAGAATCTACAATTCTTTGTGTTTATGATGAAATAATACATTTTTCTGTCTTTAAACAGACCAATGGCCACAAGTGTACACAAATAAAAAAAAGCCAGCAGGATAAAAACAAAATAACTTTTGGGCACCAGTGCAAAGAAAAACCTTGTTTCATTCCTGTGTTTATCTCGAACATTTGTCTTGGAAGAAATTGGCATCTTAAAAATCCATAAATTGTACAGAAAAGCCTTCTATTCCCATGCAGGGACTGAGCCACAACATCACAATGGCAGCTCCTCCCTAGCTGAATAACATTGGAAATGAAGGCAATACACACCATCATTTTCTCCTTAATCGTTTGGTTATGGGTTGTTATTTTTCAGCCAGAAGGGGCACCATTGACCATATTGAAACACTGACAAACATTACAATGGTTTCCCATGAGGCTTTGTGTTGAAGCTAAGCAACGTTTGAGGCTGCTGGTAAAAAACGTGATTGACCAATCAAGCTCAAGGCATTTTGCCTGATCTCCATTGAGTTGGCGAGTGTGTTTGTGACACTGTTGGTGACCTTTGCCTTATGGTGATCTTTGCTTAAAGACATTTGGCAATGCTAAACAAAAACAAAAAAAAATGTATTCTGTAAGTACACATGGAATAATCGTAATGCCCCAAAGTGTTATACATGTTTAGAGCTTTGGCATCCTGGTGTGTTTGATCACATTAACACTTATCTGCATCCTGACAAGGTAAGACCCAGAGGCCCAAACAAATCTGCATGGACTTCTTTAGACCTTCCCTTCTTCCCCTCATGAATCTTCCAGCTCTTCATCCACCACCCACTGCTGTCTCTCCAGCATCCCTTCCACAAGACCCCACTGCGGGTGTTTTCCTTCCTCCACAGTGATGTTTCCTGCTCGCCCCTTATCGCCGCTCACAACACTCCATGAAACAGACAAGCACACAGACACACCGTCAACTGTCCCACAGCCTTCAGTTCATCAAAGGCAGCACTAGTTGTGTTTAAAATAGCGTGAGAACATACGAGAAGAACGTACTAATTGTATTTTACACGTAGGCTCTTAATATTTATGTCTCCTACATTTCTGTTGTTGAGGTTACAAACTCTTTATAGATACAATGCAAACTTTTTTTTTGTTTTATAGTTTCATAATGTGTAATTTTAAAATGTATCTACATTGAGACATTTTCATACTACAAAGGAAATGTATGCAAGAAAAATGTTTGCAACAGTCCAGAGAAAATCCTATTACAATGCCAAAAACACAAAATTAAACAGTAAAGACTTATATTTAGTGATGTACTTTATAGTTATATAGTTTAGTGATGTTTTTATGTAAATACTTAATTTAAGAAAATAAATTAATTACCACAATTTCACCCACAGCATATTTTGTTTACTGTAAAGACTTTAAAATGTATGCTTAAAGCCATAATTTACACTACTTGAACTGAAGCTTTGGTGTAGCACTTGTCCATCCACATGGTTTTTGGTTATCCATCATCTATCCCACGCTTGCATACCTCCTCCATCTCCTGCCTTCTCTTGCACCCCTCAACACAATTACTCACCGCATGACAAACGACAGGCTCTCGCTGCCGAGATATCAAAACGCGCCGGCCACTCCTAAATGAAGGGACTTTGGCAGCCCTGCGCTCCCTGTGCTTATCGGCGGGTGAGCAGCGCCCCTGGCCGTCCTGCTCTCTCTCTTCCCCCTTTCTTCACCACCCCTGCACTTCATGCCCTCCTCAGGGGGTTTAGTTAGGGGAGCCACATGGAGGGCCAGCGTAGCTTGATTTATCTCCCTTGCCCCGCTGCCCAGCCACTCAGGCAGGCCGAAAGAGCCGACGAGGCTCCAACGGGCCTCGGCTCGAAAGCCCGGCATTAGCTGAAATAAACCATTCTGCCGCCCAGTGAAAAATGTCCTCTGATTGGATAATTAATCAGTCAAAGGGGAGCGACGCGGCTTGTGGCTTGAGGGACCCAAGTGGGCGACCGCAGAGGGCCTGCTGATAAATAGACTCCCCGCCGATTCATACATCAACAAAAGTTAGTCATTTTTTAAAGCCGCCAGCCCAGTTGAAAGGTGGAAACAAGCAGTAGTATTTTTTGTCCACCTAGATTTCCTTTTTTTTCTTTTTAGGAGGTGGTTCGCATTTTCTTTTAAATGCAAAAGTATTTTTAAATAATGATTTTGAAGATTTGGCAATATAATATGAAAGAAAAGAAACGGTAATAACTAAATAAGAAAACTATATTTTTTATTTGACAGGTATAAGACTGATTTTTTTTTCTTCCCTGTATTACTTATTTGACTTTGACTTAGTACCATCAGCGATTTCAACTTTCATTTTACAACTTTGAACTTTTCTAAAAAGTACAAACAAATAACGACTATTAACAAAATCTAACTTATTTTTTTGTTGAGTAATTGTTTTTTTTTTTTTGTGATCACCACAAACATTAAAGTTGTTCCAACATTGATCCATTCATTAGTCCTTTACTCCCTAAAGTGTCAGAGAAGAAAAATGGCTTGGTATAATTTGGTACAAGCCTCGAGTTGACGTCTGAATCTCCAGCCAGACAGCGGGTATGGTGCACCCTGATATCAGGTCAGTGCGACCCTACGGCCTCTCCCACTCCCACTCGTGTTCAGGCACAAAGAACGGAGGATCAGGCCTCGTCGGGTGGCACCTGTTGCAAGGGTTTGCTGCCCACGCATCGTCCACATGAAGGATTGTGCATCAGCAGGGGCTCCCTTGATACCACCACGTTAAGGAATATAGAGCAGGGGTGACATGAGTTAGAGACTTGAACATTTGGCAGATGTGTCACCAAGGCGCCTGCACTTTGATGGGCGGAGCTTAGAAATGAAATTTTGCTGACAACACACAACCAAAATGTCATTTTAGTACACAAATTGTTTGTAAACTATTATAGGTAAATAGGTTATGTTTGAGGCCTACAAACAATAAGTCAGCTTTTATTTGTGCCAAGGAAAAACAAGAAACGGGGCCTGTCATGTTCAAACTACTGTAATTTAAAAGCTGACTTCATGCGTGCTCAATAATCCAGGTAGATAAACGTTGAGTCAGGTCCTCTGGATGGATTCTTCTTTGACGAAACGAAAAGTTTCAACTAAGAAGAATCCGTCCAGTGGACCTGACTCAACCTTGTTAGTTTAAAAACTGTCTTTAATTTCCATTATTAGAGGCAGGGCTTTTTTCTCTTTGACGTTTGTATTCTTAAATTTAAATTGTTTTTCTATGTGTGGTAAAATAAAAATATTGACTTGGTAAGCATTTCAACTAGCTAGTAATTGATGTCTACAATTTTATACCAGACAGCTTCATGGTATCTTTTATGTGGGGAGTTTGAGTGTACTGTTTCCTATAATTACCACTATGAATAGAAATACAATAACTAAGGGAAGATTTTGTGTGTGTGTGTGTGTGTGTGTGTGTGTGTGTGTGTGTGTGTGTGT